TTCCTGATGAGAGAGAGTATGAAAGACAGTGGGAGACAGTCTGCGGGACAGTCGATGTTCGGCTGCAGCGTGTGGTGTTCATCACGTAACGTTTCGGCTCGGGGAAATCTAAACGGGTCTTTGTGATCTCGGAGAAGTCTCTCCCTATAAAAAGTTAATCTTACCTTTTAGACATCAGTTGAATGGTGTTTCGATCTATATTTTTAGTTTAACTGCCCCGAAGCAGACTGTCTTCATCAATGAGGAAGTCGGCTGCCCATTTTTCCGGGGGAGTGATGAACTAATCCACTAGCTCAGATGAACCAGCGCCGAAACAGGTTAAAGTTTTTCGATGTGTTGCTATGGTGATTTCGACAAACCTGCTTCGGGGAACCGAAAAGCCTGATCTACGTCATCTCATCCTCAAAACTATCCGGCTAACTCAGTTAGCCCCGTACGAGGAACAGGGCCCTGGTAATGTGCATGATGTCCCATTTCATAACACGCTTTCAATTCTGCTCTTAACCGCCAACGTATCAGAGAATGTCTTCTTTTTTATGAACAAACTCAGACATATCGATGTATACAGAAAACAAATGTATGAATAAAAAAAAGTTACAATCTGTTTGGTGATTTATTTCAACAAACAATTTCACAACTTTTTTATTCTTTATTTCCCTAATACTAGGATTTTGTTTTATTATTTTATACTTACTATGGTATCACTTTTCCATGATTCTTTTTGCCATACTGTGCCATACCATACTTATACTGTGCCATACCATACTTTTTCATAGACCTTTTGATGACTTTTGTATAACTTTTATTGACAGACAATGACTTTGAGTTTTCATCAACACACTAGCGTTGCCACTGAGGAGCCACTGAGTAGTGAGTGAGGCCCCACAGTCCTGACGCCTGACTGATGATTTCTACTGACTACTGCTGGCACACAAAAAATGCTTTTAAATTATAATAAAATGGAAAATGTATTTTTGTTATTTATTATTTCATTATACCAGAAAAATCAAACTTAGATAAAATGAAGAAACAACAAAAAAAGTAGACTGTGGAGACAGATAGGGAAAAACATAGGTGAAGAGCTCTTTGGCCCGCAGGATATATATTTAATTGCTATTACAGCTTGCCCGCCAATATATTGTATCTTATAAATAGCTGCTATCCCTCATCAGTCCACCGGGGTCGCACTGTGAGACTGTGCGCATGTCGCATGAAAATCCTCGCGCACCCGTCGACCGGACAATCAACTCGTTTTGGCGCCACGGAGTTAACGACGACCGGCAAAGTTTTGCCACAAGGAGGATCTCGGCCCTGCTGCATTGTTTTGAGTCAGATATGACCCCTTTTCTTCGTTATGTCTCTTAACCTTCTGCTCTTTTCCCTTCAAATAACTCTCCACCGCACTGTTCGTCATGAATGAGAGCAACACCCGC